CAGTTCATCTAAACAAAAAGCACTTAGACTAGAACAGACGCAACTACGTTGATCCTGCCATAAAACAATTAAGACAAGATGCGACCTCTTCCCATGCTCCCAGGATGTAGGTGTGCATTCTAGTGTGGAATACACACCAAGCCTTTGTAGCCTGTTGAAGATCCCACAACTTATCACTACACAATTAATTATACACTTCTAAGCATCTATGGTTAAATATTTCTAAGCATAAATGAGTAAATGTTTCTAAGCATAAATGACAATCAACAATACAACTCTATCACAGCCAGTCTGACAACCCAAGGAAAAGAGAAGGCGGTTACTGTAACCTTAAGGAAGAATGGGGAGGAAGGTTCAGAGGAGACGCTAAAATCAGTGAGCCAAAAGTCAAAGAAGAGGCTGGTAGTGAATAGAGATCTAACACACAACAGGGGATGTAGTCATATGTGTAGGGCATGTAAAGTGTTCTGAGATGTATCAAAAGTTCAAATCACCCATTGACATCCTTGGAGCTACACTGTGCTTGACGTGTGCCATGTTTCTCTAGTTGGAGTTTGATCCATAGTGACCAGCTGCTCCACCCAGTGCCAGTCTCTTCCACCCCTAGCAGTCTGGCCCTCCTGCCCCATTACCAGCTCATTTACTTCTCCAATGGGAAGTTGCATACACACCACTGCGCCTGGATGGGCACCATATGGCCCCACTTACCAGCCCATTCAGTCTCCAGAGTGCAGAGAAAGGGAGGCAGCACTCTGAAATGAGTGTCTGCAGAATGAATGGGATGGAGAAAAATGGAGAGGAGCATATGTGTGTGAAAGACAGGATAATAAAGAGAGCGGAAGACACGGCTTTTGTGATAGTCGAAATCTGCGTATTAACATGTGGAATCTCTCCATCTTTTTGAAAATCCAGTCTGAATAGGTCTGTTACCATGTACATTCCCGGAGAGCGAATCTCAGTGTGAGCCACGTACTGTGGCTTTAAGAATTGCAGTGGTAGGTGCGCAAGGCAATCAGAGATCCCATGGTGGTTCCAAGAAGTTCATACAGCTGCTGTGAGATACTCTAAGAGTTGCATGATATCAAAGGAGAGGTTCACGCATGAAGGGCGAGATGAGAGAGTGGTTGCGAGCTAGTGATTGGGGGGGGGATGACACCCCCGCGACTGGATCAGCATTACTGGCATTATATTGAAAGGATTACAATCAGGCTGTTGGATCCAGGCTGAAAAAAAGAGGCCAAGTGTGTGAGGGTTGAACGGTGTGTGTTTTTTGGCAGGTCAGAAGTGTCTGTGTGTGTGTGTGTTTCTGTGAGTACTTGATTTATCCGCAGCGAAACAATATAAGAGTGTATTGTCTGCTGTGCTCACATGCTTTTTTTTCTCTTGGCAACATTTCTGTGGCCTTGGATGCCTCTCACTCCATCTCTTTCTCTCTTTCAGAGGGTGCTCGAGCAGTGAGACTGAGAGTGAGGCGGGAGATTTGTTGGATCAACAATTTGAGGAGCTCAACAACAAGCTTAACTCCGTCACTGATCCAACGGGCTTCCTGCGCATGGTGTCCAGAAACAACCTGTTCAACAGGTAGGGGGGTTTTGATGCACATCACCTCAGTGTTCCTTGGCTGTTAATGAGTGGCAGTGTTAATCACCAAATGCTACTTAGACCCACTTTTGCACAAAGAAGACGATTAAAAGTCTCTGCTCGAGTAAGGAGATTCGTGGGTATTGTGGCTCATCTGTGAAAGGACTCTTTTCTCCATTGTTTAGCCAGCGCAGAGGCAGCATGTGAATCCTCCTTATTAAATAGACTGAGTAAAGCCAAAGCTGCTAAAGCCCTTATCAACTGTCTACTCTGATGGAAGCCCTGTGTGTGTGTGCGTGAATGTGGTCACATGTGCGTGTGACTGTTTGCCAGGCGCAGACATGGAGATGAATGTGGTTTTAAAATGTTTGCCATGTCTGTGTTTGTTATGCAGATTTATGAGATTTTAGTGCGAGCGCCACTGGCTTGTTCACAGCGTTATTTATTGACACTATGCAGAGTATTCATTTACATTGGGCTGATTGGTAAGGTATACCGACAATGTGCGTGCATGTGTGTGCATACTTGTGTGTCTGGGTCATATTTCCCTGTCCTCGTCCACAGTTGAGCTGTTCTTTGATGAGAGGGTAATTCCAGCTTTAATTGAGTCTTGGTGCTCATTAAGCCCCTTTAATGGGCTGCCGGTAATAATCCCCTCATTCTTTTGGGCCTTTAAAAAAAAAATCTGAATTATAAAGCTCATCATGCTTAGGAGCCTGTCGTCTGTCACAATACCAAAAGCAAGAGAAAACTGAGAAAACCTCTTTGTCCTCCATACATCTTGAGGTTTGGTGTCAGATAATCTTTGTGTTATTCAAGAGCTCTTTTTGAATTCACTTTCTCCTGCTATTTTTCCTTACATGTTTAGGCTATTACCATTTAATGGAATGAATTTATATGAATACTTCAGGATTTTGATATTTATGTATTACAAAGAGAAAGGATACGTTTATTTCAAAAAGAAACCTTAATTGAATAACATTTAAATTCAAATAGGTACAGGGCACTGAGATCTCGTCTTCAGTACGGAGCTTGGAAGGATTACTGTGGGAAAGTGATAATGAAAGTCTCTTTGTGCCTTCGTTGTGTAACTTGATGAGATTGTTTAATGATCTTGCAGTTCTCTGTAAAATTCTGCCAAAAGGATGATGCAAGGTTTATTTTATCAGCAGTACAAAGACAGCCAATATAATAAGCTTAGAGGTACAGTAGTTATTTTTTAGGTTATTAAATAGAAAAAAAGAATATTGTATTCATACATGAATTCGTGTGTAATTACATGCTCTAACAAAATCATGCGTTCTCGTAAACTTAGAATTAATCGTTACAGATACACAAACTGGAGCGAGTGCCAGTTTGTTGAAGCCGCCGTGTTGCCCTGTCACGTTGTCATGCCATGGCCATTTCACCAGCCTCATACGCAGCACACCTTATACGTAACTTTGAATTTAAAGATCACCAATAGCTCTTTCCAACTATATTCGACCATTTAACATTTGTACATGTATATTTTCACATTTACACATTTCCTGAGTTCATTTGCAAGGCGTCCGAGCCCAGCAGTGTTGGATCCGCTTCAAATGAAGTTCCCCTAACGCTGGCTAGCAGCAGCTAACTGTGGCAAAAGATCAGCTCTTAAGTTCAGGATATCATGGTAAATGGTAAATGGCCTGTATTTGTATAGCGCTTTTCTAGTCCCTAAGGACCCCAAAGCGCTTTACACAAACTGTCATCCACCCATTCACACACACATTCACACACTGGTGGTGGCAAGCTACATTGTAGCCACAGCCACCCTGGGGCGCACTGACAGAGGCGAGGCTGCTGAACACTGGCGCCACCGGGCCCTCTGACCACCACCAGTAGGCAACGGGTGAAGAGTCTTGCCCAAGGACACAACGACCGAGACTGTCCGAGCCGGGGCTCGAACCGGCAACCTTCCGATTACAAGGCGAACTCCCAACTCTTGAGCCACGATCGCCCCCATCATCAACAATTCGTCTCAGTATCACTGACATGAGACAGGAGTGAGACCCAACCTTCATTCACAAAGTCTGACAGCCTCTTCCAGAATACATAGACATGCATATTGATAGCTGAGGTAAACAGCAGATTGACAGCCTACACTCACAGATGAACGACATCCAGAGTTCTTTATCCTACAGTGGCCACCGTAGCCAGGGTTACACACCTGAATTTGGATGGATAACAAAACAGAGCAAGCTGCAATCCACTGACATCTAGTGGTGAGATTTCACACACTGCACCTTTAAATGTATACTAGAGGATGATTTATTTATCTCTGATTACCACGCAGATGACACTTAAAGACCCGTCTTTCACTTACAGCCACTGAATGCAATCTTCACGTTCAGCCTCTCTACAGCTCCCAGTCTTTTCTTTTCATTGTCTCCCTTTACACTTGACACTCACCTTCTTTTGGCTTATCCCTTGTCTCCTCACTCATTCTTCTTGTCAGGCTAACAAACGATTGTTTTGCTTTCCCATGGAGCCTTATGCCAAGGCCTGGGAGAGAGACAGAGTGTCGGGAGGCTGGAGGAAAGCCAGTGGCCTGGGGCTACCAGAAGGGCAGGATAGATGTCTGTTGGCTGGGTCCGGAAGAAATTCTGGCTGGTGGAACAGATGGAGGAGTAGTGACAAGTGTGACTATAATGCTTGGCCCTGCTAGGAAAAAGGAAAAGGCTTCTAGCCCCTCAGCCACCATTAGCACAGTTCTCAGTATGCTGACTTTCTCTATGTGAGCTGAGGGCTGTCATTCCCTTCACACAGCAGACAGGCATCCAAAACGCATTGTGCTGTTATCTTGAGTTGGTTTGTTGATAAAGATTGAAGACAACAAAACTAACAGATGATGGGATGTTCTGAATTTAAAATGTTGAAGAAAATGCATGAATGGTGCTCTCCTTCTGTGGTGATTCTGCCAGTCTGGCCCCTATTTAGGCCAATAAGTGCTAGATAAGCAGTGCAATACTGCCATCTAGTGAAGCTGTACATATTGACATGGTAAACTGAGTGAATTGAAACAGCCTTTGTATTATACTTGCCTTCCCAAGGGGTAACAACAAATTAATATATCCTACCCTCATCTACCTCCTCTTGGATTAAATTTGTTCTACGTTTGAGCAGATATATGAATGTGATGATCCCCTGCGACACATTATCTATTAAATTAAAAATGGACTTTGTCATCCACTTTCTCAACTGCGTTTTGGAATTAACAAGAAGGCCAGAAAGGCCCAAAGAAATAGTGCTATTTGAACAGTTTAAAGTTGGTTTAGTCTCAGCAAAGACTCCTAACTCAAAAATCATGAAGAATCTTAAGTGTCTGAAACTTTCTTGAGGTTTTCAGGATTAAAATGAAAACTACAGTACTTTGTTTTGTGTCTCTGCAGGAGTTGCCAGAGTATGACAAGCCTGTTCAGCAACACAATGTCTCCTGCCAAAGATGGCAACTCTTCCCTGCCCCGTCGCTCCAGCAACCTTGGAAAACCTCCACTGCGGGCACTTTATGATTTGCTCATCGCACCTATGGAGGGGGTAAGTACTACTTCGGCGGGGTATTGCCTGTCTGTTGAGGCAGTTGTGTGACAGAGAGAAGAAAACACAATAGGGTGCTTTCGAGAGGAACAGAAAAGCAGAAAAAAATGAATTTCCTTTATGTGATTAAGTGTTTTCATATCCTTGCCTCACAGGGCTTGATGCACTCCAGTGGGCCTGTTGGCAGACACAGGCAACTAGTGATGGTGCTTGAGGGAGAACTGTACCTCATCCCGTTTGCTCTGCTAAAAGGAAGCTCTTCTAATGAATACTTGTATGAGCGTTTCAGCCTCATTGCTGTGCCCTCCATTCATGGCCTTGGAACCAGTGCAAAGGTACAGCTTCTTATTTAAACTTTGTCACATTTTTACAATCTGTAATGCTATAACAAACTATTCACTCCTAAGATTTGCTGTGCTACAAGGTAAAATTTGTTGATGTCCTCTAAGGCTCATTCTCGGCGTCCTGGACCAGCCCCATGCGGCGGCGTCTCAATGGCAGCAGTGGTGGGTAACCCGAGACTTCCCTCACCTGTGATGGATCGCTGGCTGTGGGGACCTATGCCGTCTGCAGAGGAGGAAGCACTAATGGTGGCTGAGCTGCTGGGATGCCAACCCCTTGCTGGCTCTTCTGCCACAAAGGAGAGGGTCATGAGTGCTCTAACACAGGCTGAATGCGCCCACTTCGCCACCCACATTTCTTGGAAATTAGCTGCTCTGGTGCTCACCCCAAACCCTGAGGCTGTGCCTGGGGGAGCAAGCGCCAATGTGGGAGTGGGAACAGTGGGAAGAGGTGCAGGGGGGAGAGCAGGCAGCAGTGGCCGAGGCAGAAAGGGCTCCACTGGAAGTGGCTACACCATCCCAGAGTCTCTCCACATGCAGGATGACAGCAGTGATGTGGAGAGCATCTGTGACAGCCCGCCCCTTCAGGAGTTCCTGCTTACAGCTGCAGATATTTTGGATCTGAGGTTGCCCGTCAAGCTGGTTGTGCTGGGGTAGGTAGACTGGCAAAGCGATACAACTAAATAGTGATTTTTTTTAATGTAGATTTAAAGTCATTAAAAAAAACCATGAGATTAACCATATTGAAGATCTGAATTCAAAATTGATTGACTGACATGAAATTCATTAAACACACAAATGTACTTAAAATGTACATCATGATTTATTTGATAAGCACAGGGTAGAATACCAAATTTCAAGCTTGACATTTTAGTTTTACAGTTTTCACATTTGAGCCTTGTCTTTTCGTGGCTGCAGGTCATACCAAGAGTCCAGCAGCAAGGTCACAGCAGATGGTGTTGTGGGACTGACTAGAGCTTTCCTGGCTGCTGGGGCTCAGTGTGTACTTGTGTCCTTGTGGCCTGTCCCAGTTGCTGCCTCCAAGGTTTTTGTCCATGCCTTCTACTCCGCCCTTCTCAACGGGACCAAAGCTAGTGCGGCACTGGCAGATGCCATGAAGACTGTCCAGAGCAGCAAGCAGTACTCACACCCTTCCAACTGGGCAGGTCAGGGATGAAATTCCTTTATGCATTATTTCAACATTAGTAATAAACAAAGTAGTTAAAAGAAGATCCCTGTGAAACTGAGCTCTTCTTACTTTATTTCTTTTTTTCAGGATACATGCTGATTGGCAATGATGTGAAGCTTAACAGCCCATCTTCCCTAATTGGCCAAGCTTTAGCTGAGATTCTACAGTATCCAGATCGGGCTCGTGATGCTCTGAGGGTTTTACTTCACTTGGTGAGACACACCGTTACTTATTTTACAAGATGTCACAGTCAGCACTGCTCAAAAACACTGATGGTGCATTGCTGTGCTCACTGCAGGTGGAAAAGTCTCTTCAGAGGATACAGAATGGCCAGCGTAATTCCATGTATACATCCCAGCAGAGTGTGGAGAACAAAGTAGGGGGTGTCCCTGGTTGGCAGGCTCTGCTGACAGCTGTGGGCTTCCGTCTTGACTCTGCAGGCACCGGTATCCCCGCTGCTGTCTTCTTTCCCACTGCTGACCCAGGAGACAGGCTTCAGCAGTGCAGCACCACCTTACAGTCACTGCTGGGTATGTAGACAATGTAGCTATTTAAAACAAACCAAGTTATTTACAATGTGCCCAAGGTTATGGATTTATAAATACTAGCAAATCCCTGTGCTATGACAACTTATTAGGCTCATAATGTTGGGAAATTGAACATTTCTCATTGAATAAAGTTAAAGGTTTAAATACTGTTTGTATTTGATATTGTTTGTCTTTGCTATAATGCTGCCATCATTATGATGCTAAGCTTCTGTTACACAGCAGCACTGATTCCTACCTGATTCAACATTTTGTTTTTTAAATGACAACAACAACCAAAACATTGCCATAACAATTTGATGTCAAATAATCCAATTAAATGAGAAAACACAATTTATTTACTAAAAAATGCACATGAAGATTACTCTAAATCCTGGGAGCATTTAGTGTTATGCTTGTCACTAAACATAGCTTATTATAGCCCCAACAGGAGTTGCATTGCAAGGTCGTTGTCGTGCTGCAGGATGAGTTTGAGACCAGGACACCTTCCTGGCATCACTCTGTGATAGAATCTCAGAACATTTTAACACAATTTATGTTTGCGCCATTTCATTGATCCATGTATCGCCCCATGTTTAGCACTTTTTTTTTTACCACTACCATTTAAACCAGTGTGCCTTGTTAATGAATGATGAAGAACTTCCTTTGATCCAATCCCTTAGGTCTGCCACCGCCAGCTCTGCAAGCTTTGTGCAAACTCATTACAGCTTCAGAGGCAGGAGAGCAGCTCATCAACCGGGTAGGTCCCTGCAGCTCTGAACAAATGCTGTTGAGTTTTGCACCCAGTACCCACTGGTCTTTGGTTCAAATGACAAATACCATTCCTGTTACTTAGAGTTAAAAAGCATTGTAGCAGTCCCCTTTCACTTTCTTTGAAACTTTGCCACACCTTTGTATTATAAGTGCGTTGCTAGAAGAAGCATATCAGTGATTTTATCACTGTGTAATTTGGTAATGTCAGGACTGGATACGCTCTAATGAACTGGCAACTCAAGCTGGAGCTTAATCTGCATTGAAATGCAGCACTGAATTCTAACTAGTTGCCCAAAGTCTTAACTACAGTCTGAGTTCTGTTCTCTTCCTCTCCAAGCTTATGACACCTGAGAATTAAGCTGGGACTGACGTAGTTTATCCCTGTTTACGTGTAACATGTGGCTGTCACATGCTTAAAGTCATCAAGTTAGTTTGTGATTGGCAATTTTCATAGCCTCAAAATGTAAGTGTGTGTGTGTCAGTGGAAACACTTGATCTAATCTATATATGCTGCAAGCAATAAACTTTAATCTGTTAAACCACTAATGTTACTTGTTGCTGTATCCTCTTGTTGCCATAAATCCTTGTACTTTACTCTTTTTCTTCCTTTTCTTTTTTTTTTTTGCGAATGGCCTGTGTGCATGCCATTAAACGCCTGTTTTCTCTCCCCTGCTCCTAACGTGTGGTCTGAAGGCTGTTAAAAATATGGTGGCGATGGTAAGTGTGCATTCACTACCAGCACTCCATCCCATAGCTATCTTGTTAAATCACTCTTTACTGTCTGTTCTGCTAAACTCTCTTTGTATTGGCGAAAATGCATGTTGTTTTTCCTCTCCACATGCAAAGTTTACTGTCTTGTGTTGTTCATAGTTTTTCCTTTGCTAGTTTTCAGTCAAATCTAAGGGATTTGGGGGTATTTAAGATTTAGAACTTGGGTTTGGTTCAGGTCAAAGGAATGTTTCAGGGTGGAAGCAGGGGTAAATCTGTGATGTAAAAAACCCTTTCTCATTCGTGTCGGGTGAAACGAGAAGAAGGGGTTTCTGCACAGTTGCGTCAAGTTGACAAAGATGTCTCTGTTCAAAGCAAAGTAATCCCCAAACAAAACACGTAAGTGTGCTCTCGGGCCGCGTGTTAAACCCTACAAAGCCCAAACCCTTCCAGCTCAGCTTACCTACAGTTATTTTATTGCCAAGATTGCTCGTGCACTGGGCTCAGACATATTTTTTTAGGACACAGGCTTATACAAGATACATGAATATGTTTTAATTGGACGACTTAAAGAGAAGAAAATGAAATCATTATTAAAAGGAAGAAGCTGTATAATTTTTTCACTTGGGTTATTTAAGTTACTGATGCAACGCTTTGATCACCCAGTTCACTTTTAAGCCGTTAATTACATCTCCACTACTTTATTGTAATGTTGTCCCCTGTCTCTTTCAGCTCCACCAGGTGCTAGTCCAACTACAGACAGGAGAGAAAGAACAGGATTTCTCCCTGCTGCCCATTCAGGTGTCCATTAGTGTGCAGCTATGGAGACTCCCAGGATGCCATGAATTTCTGGCTGCTCTTGGTTAGTCATCTATTATGTAAAAAAAAAAAAAAGTCCCTATCCTATTGTCTACCATATGTCTATTTAAGTTACAGCTGTTGTCCTGTTTTGCATGTGCAGGGTTTGACTTATGTGAGGTAGGCCAAGAAGAAGTAGTACTGAAGACAGGCAAGCTAGCCAACCGCCGCACCTTGCACTTTGCTCTCCAGGCTCTGCTGGCACTCTTTGGTAAGTAAATGTATTTTTTTGCTTATGCACTTTCATTCTTTGCTGATTGTTGTTGAGCTCCTAACTTGATTCCCTGTAGACTGGAATCTGAACTGTGCATTGGCACTTTTTAACAGCCCGTTTTTATCCTGTGTTTATCTCATGTCACATTTTTCATCATCTCTTTTCTTTTATGTTCAGACTCCACAGAACTGCCCAAGCGCTTGAGCCTGGACAGCTCATCCTCCCTTGAGTCCCTAGCTTCAGCCCAGTCTGTGTCAAACCCCCTGCCCATGGGATACTCAAGCCTTCCCTTCTCTCCTCCTTGCCTGGACAATCAAGCATCTGATGCCATTTCTGTTTATAGCCTTAGCTCTGTAGCCTCCTCTATGAGCTTTGCTTCCAAATCAGACTGTGATTTCCTTGCTCATCGGCAGCGCGGTGGGGTCACAGCACACTACTCGGTCCACAAACACCCTCATGTTCCTCGCAGCCGCTCGTCTCCCCATGGAGCAGCTGCTGCAGTGGCGGGAGCCCGCGGAGATGAGGAGGAATATGAGGGCTTTTCCATTATCAGCAGTGAGCCCCTGGGAAGTCATTGTGACTCTCTGCCTTTGCCACCAGGCCACAGCCAGCGCCACCACCGGGGAGGCAGGGGTGTCGTCGGTGGCTCCAGCACAGGAACGGGGAGAGGGTACACTGTATCTGTATCATCGAGGGGCAGTGTCAGCACCCCAACATCTCCCGTCAAAACAAACCTGGTGCCCAGCCCAAACTCACCGTTTCAGAAAGTCGGTAAGGTGAGCAGCTCAGATACAGGAGAATCTGACCAGTCCAGTACTGAGACGGACAGCACTGTCAAGTCTCAGGAAGAAAAAACTGTCCCTCTAGATCCTCAGGAACTGGCCCAGAAGATTCTGGAAGAGACTCACAGCCATTTGCGTGCTGTGGGTAGTCTTCAGAGGGCTGGTGCAGAGGCCGGGACAGCTGGAGGAACCTCAGCACGGAGTAGCGCATTCCGCTCTTCTGAAACTAGTGCGTTCAGCCGTCCTAACAGCGGCGCTAGTGGTCGAGCTCAGTCTTCCCCAAGACCCAAACCTCCCTCCCGATCTTCTTCACTGCAGAAGATAAGCTCTGGCTACAATAGCCCTGCGGTCTCTGAGTCTTCCCAAAAGGAGGGCAGCCATCCTTCACCCACTTCAGACACTCACGCACAGTTCAAATTAAAGTACCCGAGCTCCCCGTACAGTGGCCACATCTCTCGTTCCCCGAGCAACGTGTCTCCCAGTTCTGGTCACCAGTCCCCTGCTGGTAGTGCTCCATCTCCTGCTCTTTCCTACTCCTCTACAGGCTCTGCCTGCTCTACATCAGCTGACACGGCGGATTTGGATCGACTAAGAAGAGGGGTCATTGACGAAAAAGTACAAGCTATCCACAATCTGAAGACCTTTTGGGCTAATGCTGCGGCCCAACAACAGCAACATCTAGGTCCCGTCAAAGCTGTCCACAGCACACCCGGTCCTCTCGCCTCTGCCAGCAGAGATGTACTAAGTCTTCTGAACCTCTCCCCGCGCCACTGCTCCCCTAACGACACCCAAGACAGCCTGGAGCTGCGGGAGCTGGGGCTGCAGTCACTGGATAGGGGTAGCAAGAACTCTTCCAATGGACATCACTGCTCCAACCCCAGAAAAGTGGCCCCATCACCTACTATTTCCACTAGCAGTAGCCCTGGTGCTCGTTCTATCCGACTACCTGCTGGCAATGGATACAAGTTCCTGTCACCTGGAAGATTTTTCCCTTCCTCTAAATGCTGAGACATTTAAAATGGTCCAATACTTTTACCTATCATTTACTATCCTGGGTGCTGGAGGGGTAGGGCACTTTTTGGGGACTGCCATTGGTCCATCAAGGTTGACTGACAGCGAGAAGGATTTCTTTGGTTGTGAGTTTGATTCTGCAGAGGCACATGAGTGCTTTAGAGAGCGTCTAGTCTTTGTGCCCATAACACTGTAAATGGCAATGAAAAAAACTCAACGACCTGATACTGTGTTTGTGTGTAACTGTGTGTCAGGTAGATGTAAATGCCATTTGGTATTTTTTCCCCCAAAAAACGTTGCTGTTCGTGTGGGCCAAGCTGCAACAGCTATGACTGATTTCTTCCATTTTTTTTTTGTTTTTAAATTTAATGGTTATTGTTATTGTTTGTTATTGTTATTAATATAATAATTATTATTATGTTTTGTAAATTAATTCCAGTGTTTCACAATCAGTATTAAGCGTTTTTATATGATTAAAAAGTGAACAAACCTGTACCATGTAAAGATGGATAGAGTGGAGAAAAAGATTTAATATTTTTTATTGAAATCAAAAGGGCATTTTGCCTGATTTCTTTGTGAATTGAGTGTCTGCTCTGAAGCATGGATTCTCTTGCTATTCAGTGTTAAGTACCATGTATGACTTTTTAGCCCATGATTTTTTTAGATTAAACATGAAAGTTTCATGACAACCATCTGTCATTTATCAGTAAACTGTTTCAATAAAGCATCATGTTTGCTTTCTTGTATTCTTGACATTATTCTTTTGTGTGGCTTCATACATCTATAGAGACCTTATTCCAGTTCAAGTTGGGACGGCTGTCGCAAAAAGAGAAATGATTAGCATATCATTTAAATCTTATATTTACTTGAATATAGTACAAATATAACATGGCTAAAGCTGAAAGTAATATGAACAATATAATGAGAAAAATATTTGCCTTCTTTTTGTCACGTCAGATCCTCTGGAGTAGAGAGAGCAGACGCAAATACAGACTAAGGAGATGGAACTGGACTTAACGAAAAGCAAAAAGTTTATTTTTGGCTGGACGGGGGACTAAGCTTAAACTAACAATGCTAAACTGGAGGAAGGTATATACTAAACACTAGATACCTGGAATGTGAAAACCTGAAACATGGAAACCGAGATCAGAAACATGAGCTTAGATGAACAGATGATATAACGAGGGACAAAAGGAAACTCACACAATAAATACACAAAAGGATGAGCAGGGAAGTAGAGGCAGCTGGACAACACAGGAGGAACAAATCAGATTGAACAAAGTGAACACATTGGATACAGGACAGGAGACTATCAAAATAGGACAGGAAACAACAGACGCAAGCTTGACACAGTGACTGGGGAGACACGAGTAAACACGGCGACAAAGACTGACTAAACACAGAAGAAGATTAGACACTGAGAGAGAACTAAGATTGCTAAGAACTGAAGGCTAACAGAAACAAACTTAAAACATGATGAAAGAATAACCATGAACCTAAGAATCGCAATGAATATTCAAAAGCAAATAGCATGGTGTCCAGAACTAGAAAACACTGGGTCACAGATAGTGCCCTGACACTTTTTGTCCTTTACGGGGGTTTCTTTTTGTATGTTTGTCAAACTTCTATGGGTTTTTTTTTTTTTTGGGTTCGTGTTTATGTTTTTGGAAAGCTAGTCCAGTTAAACTAGTCACACCCAGGTCTGGTTATTAACAGGGCCTGATAGGTATAGTAGCTTTTAAATGAAATTATCATTTAAATACTGCAGTTTATATTTACTTCTCTGTTAAATATTACAATTTGTTTGATGACCTGAAACAAATATGGTGCAACAAATATGGAAAAATATGTATGGACTGATGCACAAGACATGGGTAACTTGCACACCTAATCCTACACAGTATATATAGGTTTTGGGATAACATAAGCTACTATCCAGTCATCTTTTTCAGGGAATACCTTGCTTATTTCAGTAACAACAAAAGAAAATTACATTTCGGTTTCAGTGTTTGTGTCTTTGTACCGTCTTTAATTAAATATGGAGTAATTATTATTTACAGATTTATAGATTAATGGAACCACATGCTCAACTTTTTAAATTATTAATATATTATATATTTAGTATATTTAGTATATTTATATATTTTTTACGCGTTCAAGTGTGGAATAACGGATTCTAAGTAATCCATCCTCAAATACAGTGGGTGGGTTTAAAGTCACCAAAGAGAGATTTCATTGGATGATGCCAATCGTTAGGCCCACCTCTCCGTCATTCCGCAAATCACCGCTGCAGAAGGAGGGACCTGCCGCCTCACTTAGTAGCCCATGACGTCAGTTAGTGGTAGCTGGGCACTACTGAGAGGAAGAAGTTAAGATGGTTCTCATCAAGGAGTAGTAAGTGCGGGGTTTCTGTTTAAACTGTACTTTTCTTATTATTTCTGAAAGCGCTCTATAGGTTAGTATAGATCCGTGCACTCACGGCAGTTTTTTTCAGTCCCTGTGCGCTGATGCAAACTTTTCATCTTGTCTCGGGGTCAGCGTCAGGCACACGAGGGGAGGATGGGATTGGCCAAGAGCGTCTCTGGCCTACCGGCTTTGACAGCAGATTGTCATTCTCTGACAGCTGCTGGTTTCCTGTAGTTTCTCATATGTTATCGCCAAGCTGATGGCTTCTAAACGCTTCAATCTGCGGTTTTTGTTATGTGGTTTTAAAGCGCAGACATTTTCTTTTTCAAAGCCTCGAATTGGCACCCGAGTTGCTAACGCTAATTTAGCTAACTGCCTAACCTGAGGGGAAGTTAACTGGAAGCTGTAAGTTCTCGCTGTCTTTGCAGTATTGACTCGGAAACTGTCGGCGCCAGTTAATCACCCCCAGGATAACACATTTTGATTACTTAACGAATTGGTAATTTGTTCACTCCTGTCTGTTTCAAGCATCAATCATTTTGCATGTAGTAAAGACGAAGCTAGCAGCTGTTAGCCTTAGCCTTTTTGGGTTTTGAAATTGCATAAAAGATTTCAGTTTCCATTTGTAAAACCGCTATCCTTGGGTTAGGCTGAATATGTAAGCAGGCTTCTTACTTCACATCTTACCAAATGAATTGGGTTCAAGGCAGGAAGACTGAACACTTAAACGTTTTTAGAGATAAAGAAAGTGAATATAAATGGGTAGATGGATGGAGGGTGTGAATGGGTCATGTTTTGCATCGCACGGGAATTCTGAAAATAAGGATAGACGTAGATTTGAGTTATGTAAAAACCTTGTTACAACATTGTCTTATTCCTTAAATATAACACAGTATTGCTGCCAGCATGCACCTCAGCACTGTGGCGCCCTAATTCCATCAAAGTCCCTGTGTGGTAAGCAAAAAGAAGCACTGGAAGTCTGAATTGGCACTACCTGCACTATTGCATGTGGCCACTTACTGGCCTACAGGAGTGAAGGAAGACTGTTCCCGCATCCCTAACACCCCACAATCACTCACTGCACTCGGGCTCACATGGTTTGATAAATTTGACATCTTCTGATGTTGCCTGCACATTTTGTTTGCTTCAAACTTAAACGTCACTAATTACAAGTCCTAGCAGCATTGAAACAAAACATCTGATGGTGGATGACATTTAGTTTAGCCTTGTTTGACCAGGGATGGTCTTTAATGGTTAGAAATCTTGAATAATAGATTCAGATCTGTTTTGTCTTCTTAATTAAACTGCTTCGGCTAAGCTCACTGTATTTCTGGCCCCACCTAACTCACATTATTAAAAAAAACAACAACAACAACAACAAAATAAACTTTCTGTAGTCCCATAAAGTTTTGTCTTAATTCAGCTCTAACTTTTTCAACCAGGTCTAGTAATAGGTTCCTCTCATCTTGCTGATGTCAGCAGTATGTCACTATGGGTGGTTCTAGAAGTATTTTTCCCTCAGGAAGAGTAACTTTGAGTGTCTTCCTGTTCCTGGCAGTGAGCAGGTCTCTGTGTGTCATCGTGGTTCTTCTGGTTTTGTAATCCGGAGTCCCTGTAGTTATGTTCTCATTGCTTCTTCTGCACTTTTTTGCATACTGTGTGACCTGACAGGCAATTGTCATGTTGCATTCATTGTGAATACAGACAATAATATAAGGCGTGAGTAAATGTGCATGCTGATTTGGCATGGTAATGAGTAATATTTAGAGACTGAACCTTTTTATAAATAATCTCAATAACAAAGGCTATACAGGCTTTACTGCCAAGATGTAGAGACATTTCAGGCTCCAGAGTCAGTTTTATTGTTTTAGGATGTATTATTACTGTATTATTTATGCCACATGCATCTGCAGTGTTTTCTTTTTTTGTCCTATTAGTATGTGCTCTAACTCACTCTTAAAAATACAAATGTCAGCATACGTCTAGAAGAATACTCCTTCTCATATATGGGTCGCTGCTTTAGATTGATGTGGAATGATAGTTTATCTCATGAAATTGTCTAATGTGAAACAGCGGATTTGAGAAATGCGTGCTTTATAAAAGTTACTCATCATATGTTTCTCTCTTTTGCAGCCGTGTGATTTTACCCTGTAGTGTCGAAGAGGTGAGTAAGTGGCTTAATAGCTTGTTATGGTATTAAGATGTTGTAAATGATTAACTTTTTGTCAAGTCTGCTTATATTTTCTCTGTTGATGCCGTTGACACATAATCATGTTGATAATAACAAAATAATGACATTAACAGCCATACAAAAATTACAATAAATTAATAATAACTAAATAAGGAAAAAGTCATAATAATGTTAAAGGATATGAAATGCACTTCTTCATACTTACAAATATGTAGTTTCTTTTCTATAGTGCCTGTACTGTTTGTGTGGTTGTAAACAAGCCCATATTGATGCTTGAAAAAAAGTCCATCCTCAGTTAGTCTGACTGTTTAAACTGAGTCAACCCTCAGTTCCTTTTTTGGGCTTTAATGTGTCACTGTGGCGTGGCCAAAAGGAAATGTTGCAAGTCTCTGACATGTGCCTTTTGTTTAAGACAGTTCTTTTCCACTCGCTGATAATAAAGACATGGCAATGTTGTATTATTTCTGTTGTTTTGGCTGCTGGCTGCTAAAACCAAGAAAAAGCTTAATTTTGCAGATGTTGTTTGTTTGAGCCAGCAATCGTTCTCTGTGTTTAGAGACATTTCTGTAATAAATCCCAGACTTTCAGCCAGCTGCTGGGATACAATCTCTTGGCAATTAGTGCTGCATATCCAAATTCAAAATATTTGAAAAGTAATTCTTGTCTTTGTGGAAGAAATGTTAACAAGACTTATGGTAGCTGATTATTAGTCATTCTCTTCTTCTGCTGTTTGATGTTCAAACATCATAAGTAAGTTAATTTAGCTTTAAGATGGTGGAATTGGGGAACACAGCAGCAGAACTGAAAAAGCTGGCTTCAACATTTAGCTCTTCAGCAAGTTTTCTCTGCACGTTATAGAAATCTAACCTACACTAGAGTGGCAGCAGGACAATAATAGAGCTTAAGAATTTTATGGTTACTTTTTTTTGCACAGTTTTACAAAACAGGTCATGGGTTGGGTTCTGTTCCTACAATTTCACTGTATGGGACAGACAGAGAGAAATGAATGAATTAAAAAAAAATGTCATCCATATAAAATATTTGATTTACTTTTCTGACAGTTTTAGATTTCCTGTGTTGCCCTTGAGCTCTCAGGAGTAATGTACATTGATTACTGTTTGGTTAAAAAGCGTTGCTGTGTTCACAATAAGCCTATATCATTTTATTAGATGGAAACTTTCAAAATGTTAGGAAGAGAAAGAATTGGTTTATGATTTAGATGTATGTCACAGTAAAAAGTACTTAAATCTACTGTCTAGCATCATGTTTTTATATTATGATGTTTGTCTTGCAGTATCAAGTGGGGCAGCTGTTTTCTGTGGCTGAAGCGAGTAAAAATGAGACGGGTGGTGGTGAGGGCATTGAGGTACTCAAGAATGAGCCATATGAAAAAGATGGAGAAAAAGGACAGTACACACACAAAATTTACCACCTAAAGAGGTATGTGCTTT